CACTTCTTTAAATTATACCTCATGTATAATTATTGCAGGATATAATAACCGCTGCAAAGGCTGCATTGTCAGAGATGAGATCAGTTTTCTCACAATAAACTTTCATCCTCCTGAGACTCGACCACTGATTCCATCATCATTTTTAAATAATAATACCAAAAATTGTCATTCTTGAACATTTTTTTATTTTGCAGATTTTCCCTGTTTGATACATTACAGACAACAAACTAGTAAATGACAGAAAACAAAAGAATAATTTACACATTGACTGTAGAGAAAAACTGTAAATAATGTCCACATAAAAATATCTGTATATTTATAAATAATACTTTGTTCTTTTACAGTGTTTAATCGTAGCATTTCAGTTTGACTGAATTTAAATCAGCTGAAAATATTATCATATATGTTATTTTTACAGTTTTCACAGTTTCTGGACATGACAGTATTTACTGTTTTTTTACTTTTTCTGGCATCCTGCTGCAAGATTTTAACCGTTTTTAAAGACATTTTTCTTCAGTTCTTCCAGGTGACCAGTGAACTCATGTGACCTGCGTGATAACTCTGCAACAAACCACCTGTTGGTCTCTTTCAAATCCTGTTTTGTCCGTTGCTCTTCCTCTTGCTGTAAACTCCCCGCCGTCTTCTTCTTCCCCTTTTCTCGCCTCGGCGGTTTAGGATCGAAGCTGGAGGTGTTGGTCCTGAGCAGAGACGGTGTTTTTCCTCCAGCTGAAAGTGAAACCTTTAGACTTTCACAAGAGTCTTTGCAGCAGGTGACGATCGGCCTCAGCCGCCTCTCAGCCGACGGTTCACAGAGAAGAGTAGCTTCTCATCTTCTGAGCTCGCAGCAGGGGAGTCTGAGTGTTCACGTCTCGGGATAAGACCGTCCTGCCGGCCTGGCGGAGGTGAACACTGGTCCATCCGTACACCACGCAGTTGAGGAAGCCCTGCGAGGCCGAGGTGAAGGCCTGAGGACAGAGGACACACGAGGTCACTGCTGAGACACTAACTCTCTGCAGAAACGTGTCTCCAGCTTGTTTTGTCTGAAGCTTTGCATCATCTCAGCTCACACCTCTGAGCTGTGACTCATTTTAACAGCTCATAGGCTTGAAAAGGGAAATAAAAAGATCTGAGGACAAATCAAGACAATAAATCTACTGCGTCTCTGTTGGAAGTAACTTTTTTTTTCTTTGTCAATAAAAGGAACTCAGACCCATCTGACCGAATGGCAAGGCTCTTGATGATAAGACAATCCAACAACCTCAGAGATACACAACAGCTACAAAATGATGAAAAATAAATAAAAATTATCCCAAAGAGACACAAAACAACCACAAACCAATCATGCGGACATAAAAACGACATCAAATAGACACAAAATGACTAAAAAGACGCAAAAAAACAGACACTAATTGTTCACAGAGACAAAACGACCACAAGTAGCACAAAACTCTCAAACAGTTTATCCAGATGTTGTGTTGTGGTGATTTTACTGGTTGTGTTGCTGCAGACTGACCTGTGAGATGTAGAGGACGACTCCGACGACACCCAGACCTGCTGAAGGCTTCACCAGCCGCAGAAACGCCAGAGTCACCGCTGAGTAGGACACACACACAAAACACTGTTAACTCTGATGTTAACGCAACAACCACACACACAAATTCCCTAAACCGTTTGCTTCGCTCTTCTCATCACTTTGTTTTATTCTTTAACTTGTTAACTCTTTGTTCAACTCTTGTTTCACACTTTAACTCTATATTTAATTCTTTGTTTCATTTTTTGTTTGTTTTTGTTTCACTCTTTGTTCATCTGTTGTTGTTTCGCTCTTTACCTCTTTATTTCACTCTTTGTTTCACTCTTTGTGTAACTCTTTAACTCTTCGTTCAACTCTTCTTTCATCGTTTTGTTTCACTCTTCGTGTGATTCTTCAACTCTTTGTCTAATCTTTGCTTAACTCTTTTGTTTTATTCTTTGTTTACCTTTTCAACTCTTTGTTTAACTCTTTATTTCACTCTTTGTTTCACACCTTGTTCAATTCTTAAAGTCACGAACCTGGACCCCAGCAGAGGACAAAGATCAGCGGGTACAGGACCATCCGCTGGTCCATCACACGGAATGAGGTCCGCTGTTGGTTGCCGAGGTAACCGTTGGACGTCACGACCCGCCTGTAAATATGGCGAGCTTTAACCACGAGGACCTGCAGCGGGAGACGACATTTAATCAGAACAAGGATCAGCTGCAGCAGTACTCACATCATATCGAGTCAAAATACAGTCAGTAGACGGGTATTCAACCAAACAGAAGT